GTGTTGGAAGGGACCTTTAGAGGTCATCTAGTCCAACCCCCCTGCAATGAGCAGGGACATCTTCAACTGGATCAGGTTGCTCAGAGCCCTGTCCAGCCTGACCTTGAATGTTTCCAGGGATGGGGCATCTACCACCTCTCTGGGCAACCTGTTTCATTGTAAAAAAGTCTTCCTTTTTTCTAGCCTGAATCTACCCTTTTTTAGTTTAAAACCATTACCCCTTGTTCTATTGCAACAGGCCCTGCTAAGAAGCCTGTCCCCATCTTTCTTACAAGACCCCTCTAAGTACTGAAAGGCCGCAGTCAGGTCTCCTTCAGCCTTCTCTTCTCCAGGCTGAACAAGCCCAACTCTCTCAGCCTGTCCTCACAGGAGAGGTGCTTCAGCTCTCGGATCATTTTTGTGGCCTCCTCTGGATCCACTCCAACAGGTCTATGTCCTTCTTGTGCTGAGGGCTCCAGAGCTGGATGCAGCAGTGCAGGGGGGCTCTAACCAGGGCAGAGTAGAGGGGCAGAGACACCTCCCTCAACCTGCTGGCCACATTGCTTTTGATGCAGCCCAGGGTACGGTTGGCCTGGGCTGCAAGTGCACATTGCCAGCTCATGTTCAGCTTTTCATCTGTCAGTACCCCTAAGTCCTTCTTGGCTGGACTGCTCTCGATCGTTTCTTCCCCCAGCCTGTATTGATACCAGGGATTGTCCCGACCAGGTGTAGGACCTTGCACTTGGCCTTGTTGAACCTCATGAGGTTCACACTTCTCAAGCATGTCCAGGTCCCTCTGGATGGCATCACATCCCTTGGGTGTGTCAACCACACCCTTCAGCTTGGTGTCATCTGCAGATTAGTGGCATTTGTCTTTCATAGGTACACAGGGGTAGGTGTTGGGAGGCATATATTACTAGACTGTAAAAGGTCTGTTTTGTCCTAAAGCCAACAGAGAAGCTGTCTCTTGTTAGGTTAACGCTGCAGCCTCCGAACAATGCTATTCTTGTTGACAGCGAGCTTGCAAGAGTGTCTTAGAGGAACGACAGCGGGTGGTTACAAGACAGATTTGTGAGACTTTCTGCAAGGTTCTCTGATGGTGGAGCAGATAGCACTTGAGAGGACTCTTCTCAGAAATTTTATTCTGTCCCACCAAAAGCTGTATCATGATGGGGCAGCTCCTGCTTTGCACCATATTTTCTCCCATGAGACTAGAGCCATGACGGCCGTGCCCTTGGCCTCTGGTAGCTCTAGAAGTGGTAGCCGTACTTGCAGCCCAGCAGAGCTGGTATATGTGCTGGGTGCAGAGCTCCTTTTGCCTGGGAGAGACCTTGACTATAAGCCCTGTCCCAAGGGCTCTGGGTTCGAGCTCCAAGGAGGCTGGCATAGCTTACCCTTCCCAGAGGCTGTTGTACAAAAGGTGGAGCATGGCCCAGCTGTATTTTGAAGTGAGAGCAGTTACCATTTTTGAGCTCAGGCCTGTCTGCATTAGGCATGTTCAGTGTATGCCAATTGGATTTTTCTCCCATGTGCAACTTGTCTGGACAGATAAGTCAATGGAGGATCCCATGTGGATTTAGGCAGGGCAGAGACTGAGATAGTGGCATTTGTGAGAATCCACAGAATAAGCACCATATGTTTCTATACCGCATTTTACTAGTAAAAAGGCAAGGGATTAAACAGCAATTTTGGTCACCTCTGAGGTTTAGGAATGTAAATCAATCTTGTGCCCTGTTTCTGAAAACTAGATGTTTCAGGCAAGGTCTGTGGCTCAGCAGGGACTTTCCCAATAATTACAGAATTGCTCTTTAGCTGCTGCTGGAGGGGTGTCTGTGTCCTCCCCTCCACCCTGGCTGCTCATTCCCATGCATGTGCTGCCCCAGCTCCACTCTCGGGATGTGTCTTTGTGGAGTCCTGGTAAAGCTGGTCGGCAAACAGATTTGTTACAATAAATGGAATCATTTTAACTGGAACAATTTCTTGATGGCAGTCACTGTGTGCAGGTATGTAAACAAGCGTGCCAGCGCAAGAGGAAGAGCAGTAACTGGAATGGGATTGTTCTCATCTGCAGCAGCAAGACCTTGTTGATGTTGAATGTGATGGTTGACCTCTGGGATGTGTTTCCAGGCCTTCCTGGGAGGAAGCTGAGATGGCTGCCAGTCACAGCACAGGGATAGGGAGGATGACCATGCTGTGACAGCTGCACGTGGGGGATGATCCCGGTCCCACCATGGAGTTTTTCAGTGCAGAAAAATGAAATGGTGCTCATGGATGTGCTCTGAGTGACGGACTCTGCTGATGGCATTTGTTCTCACAGGAGAGGTCCCGTGAGGGTTTGGGCTTTTCTTGTGGCTGTTGTTTAGGCAGGAAGAAGTAGGAAAGCTTGGAGGAGAGTGGTAGGAAGATCAGCAGAGGCTGGGAGAACAGGGAAGTGTGAACAGGGAGGCAGCACGGGATGCCTGGGTATTGCAACAGGGAGAGAGCAGGAGGGTTGTAAATAAAGTGACATTGTGCTCAGGCCTGAAAGTGGAAGGAATGAAGGGAAGGGGGGGGGCTGTTCGACGGGGGAGAAGTCGTGTAAGAGGAGAGGAATTGACGAATACAGAGAAGTGTTTCTGTACAAGATTTATTAACAAGAGACAATAAGAATCCTCTAAACAAGAGTACAGATGGAGCAGGGGAACAATTGAGCTAGCTGAAAATGTAGCTGATCTCGGATGAACCTCATGCTGTGCCAGGGTAGCTCCTCTCTGAGAGTAAGAGGATTGTTGGCCTGTGATTTGCTTTACGAACTTTTTCCCGCCCTGTGCGCTCCAGCAGCTGCAGCCTTCACTCCTCCTGCTCCCCAGGTCCTGCCTCGCTCTCACACCACCCCAAATCCTCCCTAATCTCGCCGTGCCCCTTCCTTCCTCCCTGTCCACTTGAGAACGGTGGAGTTGCCTTCAGACCCGTGCCTACTTGGCCAGGGGACAGCCCTGCCCGGGGTCGGTCAGGTCCCCAGAGCTGCCCCAGCTCTCCCCTCCGTGCGGCTGCCCCGTGCCCGCTCCGGCTGGCCACAGGGCACCCAGGTGGCATGGCTGGGTGTCCCTGCCGTGGCCTGGGTATGGCGGGGAGCATCCCCTGGCTTGCCTGCGCATTTCTGGGTTAGGCTCCGCTAGCCTAGAGCGGTTGGAGTAAATGCCTCCGGTTCTGAGCCTGAAACTTGAGAATTACTGAGCAGTTGTGTTAACGAGGGTGTGAGAAATAGCTTCTGATTTTCAAGTTTTGTGCTAAACAGCATGAATGAGAAATCTGGAGTTGGTAATAGTTCTGGGGTTTTTTTCTGTGATGTGATTCAATCTGAAAGAAAATTAAGGAGGGAATTATCTTTTAAATTCAGTGTTACCATACTTTTATGTACTTGGCATGCTTGTGTTTTGCAGCTTCTGACTAAATTCAAGCTTTGCTAACTCTACAAGGAGATTGACTAGTTTTTGATACCCAGATTTGAGAACATCGGTTGTTAATTGGCAACACCCACTTAGGGATTGTTACTCATTAATGGGCTTGGTTGTTTGGGCACTTGTGATTTAATCTCCTGTTAGATGAAGAAAGAAAATGTTTAGTTGAAAATACTGCAATGTAGAATCAAGGTTTGTCATACCAATTTGCAGTCAAATCTGAAAGCAGGGCTATTATTTTTCTCCCCCCCCCGCCGCCTCACTGAGCTGGGGTATCAGTGCATCTTGGCAGTTCTGTGCCACAGGACAAGGAACTGCCGCCTGTGTCAGCGTTCATGTTCATTTCGGTGTTGCAGCTTTGGTTTTGAAGGCCTGCACTAATCTTTGTGCTCCACTGGCATGGTTGTAAATCCATGGTATGTCGTGATTTCCCCCTGCTACATATGGACACCTCATGAGTTTTTGGGGGCACGATACAGTTTTGTGCAGAAGGCTGCACTGCCCGCGAGTCCAGCATATCCCAGCTTCTGCCCTTCCCCATTGATATCAGATGTTATCAGGCAAGGAGCAAAGTAGCATCCCTCAAACAGGATGGTGGGATGGGGTTGTAGGCTACGTCTGTGTGGCGCAGGTGAATTAGGGAGAAGGGAGGAGCGTGCTTTTGGAGGAGGTTGTAAAAGCTTTTTGGGTTATGCTTGGATTGTAAAAGCTTGTATGCTTGGAGGTTGTAAAGCTTGCGTGGATGTGTTCGGCTCCATTGGAAGGTGCCTTCTCAGAAATGACACAGGTAGAAGTTTCCAACGTGAGGCAGCCTCCCCGGCAGCCCCCAGGGAGCAGCGCGGCAGAGCTGGGGCGCGGGGGCGGCTGCTGGGGGTCGTGCAAGGTACCAGTAGGGAACAGGCCAGGGAATTAGCCTGGGTTACTCTCGTTCTTGCAGCCCCGCAGCTCCTGCTGCCCTCTCCGCTCCCGGAGCGCTGCTGCCGCAAGCAGTGGCTGTGGGTACCAGGCTGGAGTGTCTCTGCAAAAGCCTTTTGCCTTTCTGCTGTGGGAGCTGGCTTCTTAAACCGCATCGCTCCGCTCGGCTTTACTGCGTGTAGTCCTAGGCCCGGGAAGGGTTATACGTGGTATGCGAAGATGAATACAGCTTCAGAGGAGCATGAGCTGGAAAGGGGATCGTCATGTTTTTGTTCCCTGAAAGAGATACTGTTCTTCTCCTATTTTCACATTTAGCCTAGGATCGTCATTGGGATCCATCCCCCAAAGTGGGATGTGTGGGGGGAATTTAGCTATTCCCTGGAAGCAGGCTAGAGATTGACAATACTTTATTTTTCCCCCCTCTATATTAAATAAACTAGAAACCCATAAGCTAGTTCTCTTGTAAAAATAGTATTTACTGTCTGTCCTGGACTGCAAGATGATGCATGACTTTATGAGGCAATAAACCATAAATGAAATAGACTACTTCTGGTTTAAATCCAATCATAAATTCAATAAAACTAGATAATAGTTTAAATGTCATGTCATATTAGTTAGTAACATTAGTTTATGAAGAAACTCTCACATTGTCTTTTGTTATTACAGAATTAGAGGTATGGATCTTCGGCATCTGCTGTTTACTTTGGCACTGGTCTGTGCAAATTACTCACTTTCTGCAAGTGATGGTAAGTTTTATGATACCTTTCTTTGCCTTTGTGTGTGTACATATATGTACATAGCTTTATATAAAGAGTATTTTATATTATATGGGTCAGGACTATGCAAGTTTCTTGATGCAGTAACCTGGGTACGTAATGTGAAATGTGAAATATGTATCAGTTAATCGTGTTGTAAAGTGGTGGATGAGAATGAGATGTGTTGCAGAATGAAGGTGAATTTCACAGACAGCATAGATGTGTGATGTGTAAACAAGATGGATCAACGTTGGTGTTAGATATCTGGATTTTCTTTGCTCAGGTACTGAAGTTATGAAAGAATTGTATGGGGTTCATTTTTTTAATAGAAACTGGTGGTTTTTTTCTTTAACAAATCTTTTTAGTATATTCTTGTGTTAAGTGTAGAACTACTGGGAAGTAAAGAGGAAGCATTTTAAAACTGTACGCTTTGGGTCTGAGGCCAATATGAACAAGTTTCATAAGAAACACACTTAGAAATTCTTGAGTCGAGGTTATTAAAGAGATTTGAAAAGAACATGTACCCTCAACCAGCCATCTGTGGGTGGCCAGCAGAAACGTTTTCAATGAGGAGAAGCTGTGAATGCACATCCTTTCCACAGTTCTTCTCCTTCCTGTCCTTATTTGCCTCAATTCTTCCACCTTCTGAATTAAATGCCAGGCTGGAAAGTACTTGGTCCAGCTGAGCTACCTCTGTTGCTTTTTCTTGTTGCAACCAGCAATGATTTAGAACAATTTCTGTATCACCCAGAGGCCTGTCCTGACTCTGGTGGGTCCTTTGGGACTGGTCTTTTACTCATTTAGAATAAAAAATTCCCATTAACGCCAGTGGGAGTTCTACGTTGTGTCACACTGATCTGCTTATGTTGCTTATGATCTGCTCCTGCAAACAAATGCAACTTAACCTGGTCAGCTCTGTTGTGTCCTGGCATTTGGAGAGAGCAGTAACAGTTTTCCATAATCACTAATTTTATGCAAACATGTTGCCCCTTCTCACAGATCCAGGGAGTAGCTGCAGAAGGGTGGCTCCTTAAAGAGGTGTCCCTCCTGACCTCCTAGCCAAAATCAGCATTAGCATAGAAAGCCAGAGAGGGCAGATTGACAAGTAATTTTGGAAAAAGTGGGGTGGAAAGACCTTCCACAGCAAACTGTAAAAAAACTGATAAAATTTTCAACTAAAATTTCTGACAACTCCCAATTTATTATTTTTTTTTTCTTTAGCTCCATACTTAGGTGCTACTGAATGCAAATTATATGCCTAAAGAGTTGCAAGCCATGTTTCATTAGCCCTTCTAGTGTTAGTTTTAGAATATGGCACTAAACCAAAGGGCTGTGGCATAGTTGCCTGCAGTCATAACTGTCCTACAGCTTAAAAGTCTAATCATCCTCCTTCACCCTGATACAGTTCTGAATTTTCTTGGAGTTGCATACTTAAAACTTTTAGATGTCCATATTTGCAGAAGCACTGGAGAGAGATAAGGGTCATTATTTTGTGGTTAATGGAGACATTAAGCTGAAATAAGATGTAATTAGAACTCAGATGATCAATTTTCAGATAATTCTTCCCTAAAGTTAATTTTGTTTATTAAAAAAGGGGTTTGGATAGGGAAGACACAAGTTTCTGTTTATTTACTTCTATGTGTGTGGCTCAGACTCTTGTCCTCTGTGTTATCAGGAGAAGAATCTGTAACATTCTCTTCTTCCTTGGTAGTTAAGGCTTTTTCTTTAACATTTACCAAATTTGGTTTGAGTTCCTAGTGTATCTGACCATTGAAGGCAATGAATGAATCAAGTTTTCACTTTTGTTCCCTACTTTCATTTCCTACTTGCAGCAATACTTTCATTCTGCTACCAACATGTCCCATGGGAAACGAGTGTGCCTATTTAAGAAGTGTGGGGCAGTGAAATGTTTATTTTCATATTAGAATTGGGCTGAAACAATGTGGGGCCTTTATTTAATGTGTTTTGAATCCTTCTCTGTCTTCTGATCTGGTTAAAAGAAGTGGAATTTTCTGATAGGAGTTTGAAGAATAAAGCTATATACTAATTTTCCCCCTTTGTGTACCAATCTGTTTAGTTAGACCTATGAATGGAAATAAAATTTGCAAATTCCTCCTTGGTTCTGCTGAAATGTGTAAAGTCGGTATTTCACAGTGAAATATGAGACATGTACCAGCTTCTCTTCATTGCCTCGTACAGAATGGTTGGTAGAACAAAAATGAATGTGTTCTGACTTGATCCTTCCCCCCCAGTGTCTGCATTTTGCAGTACATTCGCTCAATAGACAAAAATAATCCCTGCCCAGATGCAGTCTGCTGGACCCATTGATTTCTCTCCTGATGTTTAAGAGCACTTGAGGATTTTTTTGGTCCTTGGCAGGTGAGGTGTGGTCCAGATGCCCTAAGTTCAGTAAAAATCTGTGTTATAAATAAAACTTAACCGCAACATCACCTTAGTGTGACTTTGTCTATACTCATGAAATAGTAACTTCCATGAGCTTACCTTCAGAACCAAAAAATGAAGAACATTTTCATTTTGTTCCTGTGCTTGAATCCAATACACAATACTAAATATATATGTCCTGATTTGCTGCATTATTAATGAATTGTGTGTGTGAAGGGAACAGAGCATAAATTTCTAACCACTAAACTGCTTCTAATGCTGTAACACATTTATTCTGAGTAGGGGAAATGCTCAGCTGAGAAAATCAAATGAGAAAGACTTAAGTCGAACAGGACTATTTTAGATAACAGCATGAGAGAACGTGCATTTGTCATTCGGTATGATTTAAGACAGACTGTTAGATGAGATCTGTTTATTAGCTGTTTTGTTCTTTTTTTTCCCCCGTGTGAAGGTACTTGTACCTGCAAAAGTTCTCGTGAGCAGCCAGCCCCGCTCTGGTGATGAATCCTGATGATCTTACTCTGCCCAGCACAGTCTTGCTGAGGCCTTCCTATAAACTTAATTAGTTGTGCTCCGTGCCTGTACCATATCTGATACGTTGTCTGAGGGACTGGATCTACGGTGTCGGTTCCCTAAAAAATCCACTTCGGTAATTGTATTTATTCTGGCAGCACATTAAAAAATTACACATACTTGCTAGTCTTGCACCAACGCACGTTACTGAGACAGTGGAATACTGACTTGTACATGGAAGGCTTTTATGTCTTGAAAGTAAGTAAAGCTTACATTCAGCCTTACAAGAGCCTGTGCTTTGAGCTGGCTCCATGCCGCGGGGCTGGATCCACCCTTGGCACACGGCAAAATCCCATACGTGTTTCCTCCTGGCGGGAGAGCGGGGGTGAGGCCAGCAGTTGGCCAGGCAACTGCACAGCATTCGAGACCAGATACTGGACATTTAGTCACCTATTTTGCTGTCTCCAGGCTGGTGCCAAGTTATTCTGGAGGCTTTTCATTGATTTAGCTCGTTTTCATCCTCTCCTTTTGCAAAGAGCTTGGCTTGCCGGCTCCTTGAACTGAGGCTGTGGCAAGCGTGAAGTGACCAAGCCCATCTACTACATAGGGTCTGCGAGTATAATCCGGAGCTGAGCAGGTCTGGGACTTGCAGCCTCCTACCAGGGGAGACTGACCCACAGGGTGTGGGCAGAACAGAGGCAGTGGTAGAAAGAAGGTGTAAGGGCCACAATAACAGGAGGGTAATTTCTAATAGGTGTGTAATTACTGTAGGTAAATGGGTTTTGTGCCCTAGGGATTGGAAAACACGAGGCCCATTTTCACAGCTAATAAAGACATTTTTGTTAAGTCAACAGAACTTAACACTTCTAAGAGTTTAGGTTGCTTTAAAGATGGGGAATTGTGTGATTTTTTGAACGTTTAGTTTAATTTAGTTAATTAGGTGCATGAACAAGAAAAAGTACTTTCATGCTTCCTGAGTACATCTGTGCAATATCAGTTGTTGCTCAAGAAAAAAAAAAAAAGAGCTTATATTCATGTACACATGCACAATTTGTGTTTGATATATTTACCTTAACGTAATTGTGGTGTTTCAAATACTTACTCAGCATACACCTAGGCATTTTGATTTACTATACCTGCTGACATTAGGAGTGGTTGAGGGGAATTGCTCCAGACACAGATTGCAAAATGTTTAGGAAGCAAAATAAATCTGTCTGCTTGTTCCTTCTCTACAACTGATGAGTGTAGGTCACATAAGGACATAGAGGAATAAACTGGGAATTAGTCCCAGTTAATAAAACAATGCATAAGCTCAAGCAGTTCCAAAACTAATTTCTTCCCAATGAAAAGAAGTGGGAAATGTCTTTTATCATTTTTTATACTAGATCAAAATTTGTTCCAGACTATTACAGCTATGCTAATTCATTCTCTGAAGCAGGTTTAGAGAGGCATTCATATTTAATGATAGCACAATAAAAATATTTTTGAGTTAACTGGGTTTGTATAATGATAATTTTCAGACCTACAAGCCTGAATTTATTGTTCATTATTTCTAATCTGATTTTAGAAGTGTATTTATTTTTTATCACTTTTTTTTAATTATTGTATGAGCTTTTATGCTCAAATGCTCTATTTTCTCATTTTTATATAAGAAGTAGGATTAATTATTTTCCCTTCTGAGATCTATCAAATCTAATTTTTACTTTCATCAAAATGTCCTTTTCTTATGCTGGTGTCTGCTCACTAATTGTACTTGGATGCTTTGGGTGCATTGTAGATCCAGATTGAACCATCTAACTATAGGTGTGCACTGGATATCAAAGTTCCCAATTACAGAGCTGGGGATTAAATCCATAACACATGCATAGGGCTTTAGTGTCATTATAAATGTCATAGTGTCGTGTCCACCCCTGGGCACCCGAGACATCTGCATGGGATTCACAGCAATGACACAGGACCCGCAAGAGATCTGCGTCATTCTGAAACAGCCAGAAGCTGAAAGAGCTCTATAAAAAGCCTAAGGTCAGGCATCTCATATGTACCTGAACATCTGTTTTCAGGCAATTAAACCAACT